AAATACAAATGGCCTTGCCAATGACTTGCTTTCTGATTTACAGCTTCCAGACTGTGGGATGACATATTTGTCTTTTTTTTTTTTTGAGCACCCAATTTATGGTACTTTGTTAGGAAAAGGGAAGCCCTAGAAAATTAACACAATGCCTAATATTGTCTTGCTTTTCAGGTATGGCTGATAAAGCAGAGAGAGACAGACAGAAAGAAAAAATACCCTGCCCATTATTGATGTAGCAATTTCCTTTTCTCTTACATCATCATTTTTTCTCTCTAGTTGAAGAGAAGTATGCTATTGCAAGGCACAACATCAGTGAACTGAAGGGTCCTCTCTATGTAACCAATAATAACTGACTAGCACATAAAGCAAGAATGAGCTTGCACAAAAATCATATTGTGGAATCATTTTCTAAGCTTAGAAATTTGACTTTACGCAAGATCTCCTTGCTACCTTACTGCACAGAGGGACTCTTCCCTAAAAAAATCCAGAGACTAGATACTAAAAGCTACCACAAATATGTTCTGCCATTCAATGTATAAGGAGCCTATTTCTGAGATCCCAGCTCTCAGGAATAGAGGCTTCCTAAACCTGAAATATTCTGACAACGAAAACTTTCTTTACCTATATATAAGCTCTTTCCACCTCTCTAAATAGACATTCTGGGGGGAAATGGCCAGGGGAAGTGCAAAGACATTAATGGTAAAATAGTGAATAAGGTGTATTCTGGCCAAAATGTGAATACAGGTTTCATTGACCCTCCAACAATAGTCTCCCACCAACAGACAAAGGAAAGTATTTCAACAATGTAAATAAGATGGTGAAGCCAAACCATACATTTCAGAGTAAAACTGCCACTACTGCAATATAAGCCTGCATTCCATTAACATTACTGAGAGTATTGAATTACCAAACTTATCATTTTATAATAAGGAAAAAAATCAAGGTTGTTAGAGCAGCCATTACATTGGCCTCATTGTATGAGTGGAATCCATGATTCTGGTCCGAATGCGTTATTTTTCATTTTTTGCCAAAGAATTTAATCAAAGCAGTTATTTCTAAATAAAATTTACTAGCTAATAATGATTGTTTTTAAACTTTTTAGAAAAGAAAATCATTGTGCAAGTACTTTATAATTCCAGAATGTTTGCAAATTTGGGTTTAAATTGAAGCCAGTAAATGTGATCCAACAAACACAGGAAAAAGTCACCTTTGTGGCTAAATTTCTCCAACTGTTTTAGGTCAGTGTGTTTTTTTTCTTTTAAAGTGAGGTTGTTCATACAAAGTTATTTTTTTAAAGCTTGACAATATGAATATTTTTTCTGTTAAACGTTCTGAAACAGCAATATTGTACTATGAAATCCTAAAAGTTTCAAGCAAATTATACTTGATAATATATCCTTCATAGTATTTTTTTGAAAGAAATAATTTGAAGTTAGTTTTCTATACACATTAATTTGAAAATTGAATATACTCCTTAAACATCTCTACTTAATAGGAGCATAAATACAGGGTAGGTAAGATACACTTTCATATATGACTCTGAACTGTCTCAAATATTTGGGAGAAAAAAAGATGAGTACATCTAAAATTTCCAACCCCTTACAAGTGTTTCTTTTGTTTCCATTAAGAGAAGCTAGAAAACTAGTTTCTTTTTATTCATTTGTTCATTAATTTGCTTATGCATTCAAATATTTATTGAGTGCTTGCTTTATTTGAAGCACCATGAGAGGCTATTGTCTTATTATTCTATATACATGGTTCCTTTCCTTAAATAAATATGATCTGTAACAAAAGCATGGTATTTGGCTAGAAAAACAAAAAAGCAGTGTTCCTCTCTAAAGAAATTTATCAAATAATCTAGGTAAAACTATAGCACAGCCACTGGCACCCATGGTAGAGTGTATGATTGGTTCACAATTCTTCCTTTCCTTCCTTTAATCATTGTCAGGGTTTATCATGGACAGAATATACATTGTGCCTCAATGACTTTGGAATTGTCTGTTGACTTAACTGAACCAATGGAATATGAACCAGTGTGATTAAAGAGATGTTTCAAAAGATTTATGCCATTTTGCTGGCCCGTGTGCAATTCTGCCATCTTCATGATGAAAGCCCCAAGTAGCCAGAGATCGCAGAGTGAGACCTGTGGGGCACACATACACCTGACGTGTAATCTGGAGCCAAGTCAACCTAAACCTGGGGTCCATCAGGTTGACAGAAAGACAGAAAGATGAATATTTACAGAGAAATGGAGAGAGATTTGCTGTTGTCATTAGCCAGTGAGGACTGGAAGATAAATCTTATACAGCAGAACTGCAGCAATAGCTGAGTAATATGCCCCAGAGCAAAGCCCTCCACATTCTGGCTCACCAGCTCACTTAAAAGTACAGATTGCTAATTTAAAAATCTTAGTGCTATACTTTGGATTGTGAATTTGCCCCAAAAGTCCATGTGCTAAAGGTTTGATTTCCAGGGTGGTGCTATGCTATTGGGAGGTAGTAGAACATTTAAGAGGAGAAACTGAGTGGGAGGCTTTTCAGTCACTGGGGGGCATGTCCTTAAAGGGGATCATGGGACCTGGCCCCTACTCACTCTTTTGCTTCCTAGCAATGAGGTGGATCCTGCCACACACTCCATCATATGTTCTGTGACAGGGCCAAAACAATGAGACCAACCAATCATGGACTGAAACCCCCCAAACTATGAGCCAAAATAAACCCTTTTGTTTTTATAAGTTGATTATCTCAGGTATCTGTTCCAACAACAGAAACCTGACTAATACATCCTATCTGTGAAACAGTGTTTCCAACCAGTTTTTATAATTTTTCATCATTAAACATAAAGGTACAACTAAAGAACACTAGTCATTTCAGGACACTGTAAACATGAAAATAGGGGATAAGATAAATAGAAAATAACAAGATCCCAGAAGAAACAATTCAGGAAGGAGAAGTTAACTTCAAAAAAAAATATGAGGCTGGGAATACAGCTCAGTGGTAGAGGACTTGCCTAGTTTGTGTGAAGCCCTGAGTTTGATCCCTGGCACCTTAAAAAAATTAAAATAAAAAAATTATTGACTATCATCAGACATATTTAAAAGGAAAATGTAACATAACGCAAAAATGAGATGCTATAAAAAAGGACCAGTCATTGTATTACAACATACATATGGATATTAAAAATGTTTTTAGAAGTAAAAAAGAAATCAGAATAGTTTGAAAAAAAGGAAGAAAAATTTACACAATTTTAAAAAAGACAACTATGAAAAGTATGAGTGAAAAATAAGAAACAGAATGAATCCTGACTTATAATAGTACAAAAATATGGAGGAAAGGGTAATGTCTATTCAGTGAAATAGTCATAGGCATAGAAAGCTTTTGTTGATTATCAACTTTTGGGATAAACCTATAGATAAAGCATAGAAGATTTCAACATAGTTACAAAATGGATGACAAATATCAAACTTAACATGAAAGTACAGGGGATAAAAAGTGGAAATTGAGAGGATAAAACAGAACAAATGGAACGGTAAGAGTGATTAAAAAAAAAGCACCTTCATCTTGATAAATGGAGAATCAAAAAAGTCATTAGTGAAAAAGTTATGAAAGTATATTATGTCTTTTTTACATTGCAATTGCTGTATTAGTTTGCTAGAGCTGCTGTAACAACTACCACAGACTTCATGGTTTAAATAATATAAACCTATTTTCTCAAAGTTCTGGGGGCTAGAATTCCAAGATCAAGGTGTTGGTAGATTTGGTTTTACTCTAGGGCCCCCTCTCCCTGACTTGCAGATGGTTGTTCTTTTGCTGTGTCCTTACATGTTTTTTTCTCTGTGAACTCACATTCTCATTCTTTGTGTGTCCAAATTTCTTTTCTTTATAAGACACCAGTCATATTAGATTAGGGCCCATTCTAATAACCACATTTTAATTTAAGCATTTATTTAAGGAACTTACCTCTAAATACAGTCACATTCTGAAGTACTGAGGCTTAGAGCTTCGACATATGAATTTCAGGGTGGGAGGATACATTTCATCCCATAGCAATCACCTTTTCTTTTTCTTAGGGATACTGAGGATTTAGCCTAGGATCTTCTCACTAAGCTACATCCCATCCTTTTTTATTTTTGAGACAGGGTCTCACTAAGTGGCTAAATTGCCTCAAAATTGTGATCCTCCTGCCTCAGCTTCTAATAGAGCTGGGATTATAGGCATGCATCACCATACATGTCACAGATGTATTTTTTTGCACAAATAAATGTCTTTAAACATATAGAAATAGTAATGTAGCTATATTGAAAGGGACTAGGAAGGAAAAGTAGATAATTTGATAATATCTAAAACTGAAGACAATAAATAGTGGTAAATACATGTTATTTAGAGATATGGAGCCAACTGGAGACTGCCATATGCAACTGTACAAGTTATTCAGAGTATAATCAAATATGGCAGTCCTGGCTGACTGCAAGAATAGTTATTAATATAAACAGTTTAAAAAGTTAAAAGTAGTTTGCTCTGGGGAACAGGACTAGATTCGAGGAAGAGATCAACTATTGTTTTTTCATTTTAAACCACCATGCACTACTATATCCTTAAATTGTATGTATTACTTTGATTTAAAATATTTTAAATTTAAATTTAATAAAGTAAATTAAAAATATTTCAGTTCTCCTTTGCCTTCTTCCTATCCTTGCCCTATTTCCAAACCCTATTACCATTAGGCTGGAGAATAGCAGAGACTTCTAAATGTTTTTATTCTCCACCCACTCATCCTACATCATATCTAGAGAATTTTGTCTCAACTAAAAATATGGTCACGTCACTCTGCTGTTTAAAATATTTCAATGATCCTATCATCTCTTAAAACTTGTCCCTAAAGCTAGGAAATACCATGTGTGGTCTGTCCCTTGCCAGTTGTCTGTGCCAGTCAGCTTCGCATGAGTGTAACGAAGTACTTAAAATAATAAATTTAATAAGACAAAAGTTTATTTTTGGCTCATCGTTTCAAAAGTTTTAGTTCATGGTCACTTGACCCTGCTGCACGGTACATCATGTCAAGAGAATGTGGCAGAGGAGTCCTGTTTTCTTCATAGCAGTGGAGAATCAGAGAGAGAGTAAAAGGGCTTGGGGTCTCAAAATCTCCTCCAAGGGTGTGTCCTTAGTTATCTAACTTCCTCTCACTAGGCCCTACCTCTTAAAGGTTATACCACATCCCAGTAAAAACACAGGCTGGGGACCAAGTCTTTAACACATGGGACTTTGGCGGAGATATCCAAACTATAGCATTTGCCATCACTCTATCGGTCTCATTTAATGCCTCCCAAAACTGAAGTTTTCCACATTCATTATGATGCATCTGCCTTTAGTCTAATATTAACTAGCTGAAATTCTATGTCCTCACTTAAACTTCAACATTCTCTCCCCTCTACCTATTTGTCTTCATTCCATTGACTCCTTCTTCTCATCCTTTAGTTTAAAGTCAATGGTTTCAGATGAGCTTGCTAAAGATTTGGTTTTTCTCTCTCATTTGGTGAGCTCTGCTCCTTGGTGTTGATTTGGCTCTCAAACTCCATATAATCACAAGATAGTTGCTGCACATTTAATGGAAAAGAGCAACAGTCTCTTCCCAAGTCTCATGTGTTTCATGATTTTGAGTAGCTACTGTGCATATCTTCCAGCCAATCAGGAAATGCAATTTTCTCATTGGAAAGTCCTAATGCAACTGAAAATCTGTAGTCAGGGATGGAGTCAATTCCATAGGAAGCAGATAAAGTGAAACTAGGAGAAGGAATGGTCATCAGAGAAAAGTCAGAGAAACTCAGAGATACTAAAAGAATGGTGTATAAATGCTTTGCAAAAAACACTATGGACATAGACCATGATCACCAATTCTGTATCTTTTCACTAAAGACCCAATACCTAGTGTAGCACTTGACCAATATTATGTGAAAAAAATGTTTGCTGAATTTTTTGTGTGAGGTGTTGTTTTTCCATCTAAAAGATATATTCTACAATAGAGTATACATCTTAAATATTGACATTTTAAAATTAAATCACCCAATTGATACAAATGCAAGTTGTTTAAGTTATATCTATGAAAACAAACAGGACTTTAAAGCTGTATATAAATTCTCATCATACGAAATTTGCAAAATAGAAATCTTTCACATTTTAATATATATGCAGTTTTGCTTGAACTGAGAAAATGATGAAAAATCCATGCCAAAGTATTTGACATTTTGGAGCGCTTTTTATTTTAGGATTTTTTTTGTCTTTCTTAACTTAAGGAGTGCTTGAAAACTAATTCTCTAAATCAAAATGCTGCTTCAGCAATAAGTCTTACATAATACTCAAAGTGCCAAAATAAACTCTTGGATCTTGGGATTCATGATAGAAAAAGCCTGTTTTTTAAAAGTGTAAAAAAGAGTACATCTGAGGATTTATTCTCAAATGTGAATGTGTGCAAACCAGGCCTCTTTCAGGAATTAAGGTGTGCTCACAGGTATTCTATCTGAGATTCCCCCCAACAGCATGATGCAACTAGTTCATTAGCCACATATGGGTAACTTGATTCTTATTGCTCTCCCTATTCTTTGTAGACTCTATCTGGGCAGCTATTTAATGCTACCAAGCCAAATTCTTTCTTCACTTATTCCTGCCAAGTAGTACCATAATTGTCATCAAGATGTGATCATCTGTTTCATATTGCTGTAACTCACACTGAATGAAAGCACCAGTGTGAGTTGCCATTTTATTTCATCTCTTATTCTTGAAAAGTAGAAAACATGTTAATGCTTCTTCTTATTCCCTTTTTAAAATTGTAAGACTCTGAATGCATTAGCTTTGTGCTATTTGACTGGAGAAAGAAAGATGAGAGAATGAAAAGGGATGAGAGATGAAATTAGTTGAAACAGGGAGAAAAGAAAACTACTTGGTAGTATATTATAGCTTATACATTCCAGAACTTCTCTGGCCAATAGGGTAGTCTCTATCCACTATGACTATAAAATGTGCCTAATCTGAATTGGAATGTGCTGCAAGTGTAAAACACACATAGAATTTTAAGGACTACAGAAAAAAGTACAAAATCATTCATGAATAAGTTTTATATGGCTATATGTTGAAATGATAGTGTTTTAGATATATGGAATTAAGTAATATTAAAATCCATTGCGCTTTTACTTTTCAAAAGTAGCTACTAGAAAATTTACAGTCCTATTTGAGTCTTACATTATAATTCCACTGAACAGTACTGACATACAATTTCCAATGCCAAGAAGTTAGAGTGCTCAGGGATGAAATATAAGGACACAGGAAGTCATGTTTAACAAGTATTCTAGATGCAATTTTCTATTTTGAAAGGTTTATCTGGAGGACACTTTGCAGAATTGACTGATGGCTTGACACATTTCACAATTCTAGGTTGAAGATCCTTTTCAGTTATAATTTTGAAGATACTGCTCCACTGTTACCAGTTGAGGACCCCTAGTGCTCTCTTTATTCCCCATCCATTGACAATGTCTGTTTCTCTCTAGAAGTCTTTCTAGTAAGTAAGGGTAATGTAGGTGTTTTTCTTTTTCAGTGAAATTACTCTTTATTTTTGCCTGTCTATGGACCTATATTCCCCCTTTCTGGTAACAGGGCACTGATGTTTCCCTTCGTTTTGAGTTAGTGCAGTTTGGATGAAGCTGACCCATGATTCTAGAGTTGAACATGTGACCCAGTCCTAACCAATCAGAATATTCCACTTCCTTGGACCATAATAATTGGCTCAATAATCTGAATCAGCTCTGAGATCTTGAGTAATTATTTAAAAAGAGGTGTTACTAGTCTGGGGGCTAAGTTTACAACTACTTCTAAACACCTTTGTGAGTACGTGGGGAGATTTGACCTGAGAAGGAAAACAACCAAAAAGAAAATTACTATCTGGACTTTTTCAAAATTGTAACAAATTTGCTTCTTTGATCACACAAATTTTAATTTAATTTCTCTCCTTCAGAACTTAGAATTCTGATTAATATAAAGGAATTAGCATATGATTAAGTAAACAATTTACATTTGTACAATTTAATAAACATTCTTAGAGTTTGTATATGGTCAAGTGACTTCATGGGTGATGATGGAGGAAGGCACAAAGTTTATTATAATTATCATTCATTCATGCATTCATTCCTCCATCTATTTAGCAAGCATTCATTGAGATCCTTCTCTGCCAGTTATCACTATAGGCAGAAAAAATGTAAAAATTAGAAGTCACAGACATTTAAGGGTCTTTCTATTTTCTAAATTACTTTTATACCTATTGCTAATAATCCTTGCTCCCTCTGGTAGCCTTGGAATTTTCAATTCCCCATAGGTCAAACCTGTTACATAATTTCTGCTTCTTTGTTGGATGCCTCCATCATCCTACTTGCATTTGCAAAGACTTGTTGCTTTCTGAGTCTGCTGTCAGCTTTTATCTGTGCCTGCCCTGTCTTCAATTTAGGAAAAGTCTTTGACCTTTCTTTTGTGTTGGATTCCCATTTCCTAGATCACTTGCCCCCTTTGTTACAAGGAAACATTATCTTCCAGTAGTATCTTGAAAAGGGATACATAGGAGGTCAGCATTTTGAAGTTTTGCAAGCCTGAAAATCCATTCAGTTTGCATAACTGAGTGATAGTTTGACACATTTCAGAGTTCTAGGTTGGAGATCATTTTCAGTTATGATTTTGAAAACATTATTCCATTGTTATCTGTTTAGAAATCACAATGCTCTTTTGATTATCCATTGCCATCATCTATTTCTCATTCTTGGGAAGTTTCTTGAACCTTCTAAGTATTTCTAGGGTCCTCAAATGTCATTATTATATGTCTTAGAATGAAACGACCTAATTTGGAACCTTATTTCTCTCAGTTTGGGAACTTTTCTTTCATTATTTCTTTGAAAATACCCTATCCTGTCTGTTTAATCTCTCTCTGAAACTCATGTCAGTCAAATGTTGGACCTCCTGGATTGATCTTGAAATTTTCTTACTTCCTATGACCTGTTTCCATAAGTTTTTAGGTACTCCTTCAAAGAAATCTCATCTTCATTTCTCAATATTTTTTCTAAATTTTGTTTTAATTTCATCTGACATTTTTAATTTCTAAGAGCTCTTAGTTTCTATTTGTTCTCTCTATAACATCTTGTTCAAAGTAAGTCTTGTTTTAGTGATATAATCTCTTCTCTTCTTTGCAGATATTAATTATAATTAATTGGAAGTTTTCTATTCCCTACAATGTCTCTCTTTTTCCACGAATCCCTTTCATCTGCTTGTTTTGTTCTTTCTGTCTTTCAAGCTGGATGTTTTCCACAAATATCAATGCATATTTACAAGAGAAGCCCTTAAATGTTTACGGGAAGCTTGGTGTGAGTGAGTTTCGATGACTAGTGGGCTTTAGTAAGTGTAATCAGGCAGAAGGCCAGCTTTTCATCAGAGGGACATTCAAATGTCAGTATCTGTATGTTTTTCCTCTGAGACTTTCGAGTTTTTCTTCAGAAGTATCTTCCAGTGTCCTGCGGAAAAGTTATGGGGATTTCTGGAATAAGATGGGGTAAATTCAGCCCACTTTCACTTAACAATCTGTGTTCTGTCTATATTAGACCCAACCTATATTATGTTGAATGTCCTCAAATTCCTAAACTTCTGTCCAATTTTCCCATAGAATACATTTCTTGCCAGGGCTGGGATAAAAATGTCTAGCTGCATATAATGCAGATGAAGACTGGAAGAGGAGGTGGTTCTCTGCAGCTCCTTATACAATACTTTAACCAATCTTTAGGATTTCAGCTCTTCTTCTCTTATCTTCTGTTTTGCAATTGCTCTGTTTCCTGGGAACAATGGAGAGACAGAGATTGGGGAAGGCCAGTGATATTTAAAATAGTTACAAGGTTTTATATTTATATTTCTTTCACATGTATGTTTTATTGATATATGTTTGCAATACATAATGTTTACAATCATCTTGGGGAATTGGTACATGTACGTATCACATCTTAATCATTTTTATTGTCCCTTCCCCTCTCCCTGTCCTTTTCTCTCCTCTCAGATCCCTTTTCTATCTCCACAAAGTCTACCTCCTTCAAAAGGTTAAATATCACATGGTTTCTCTTATATAAGAAACCCAAAATACACATATTTTTTTGCCTTCAAATTTCATGTTTTGAGCTTAGTAACTAGTGTATAAGAAAAATCAGGTGCTCTTTGTCCACTGATTTGAAAACCTGTGATAGGATAATATTAGGTTGTTCTTTACCTTCCACTGTTGTCCAAGTAATTATTAATCATAATTTAATCTTATTATTATAACATTAATCTTCAAGTATTATATAATTTTGACTAAGTTAAGAGGAACTAAGGTACTAAAGCTTTGCCAACATCTATCATTATTTTATATCTGTTATCTAGGAGGATATTAATATGGGTTATTATCAGATTTCAGAATTTAAATAAACATTTCCTACAGTGACAGGTTAAAACATACTTCTTCCATTCAATGGCTTTTATTTCAGAATTTTATTACTTGACCTCTCTATAATGAAACACTGGCATTTTACACTATGTTTATATCAAAATAAATATTTCCATATGTTGAAACTGAAGGGCAAATCTCATCAACAGCATGAAAAACGATTAACAAGTTCATAAATTGTTCATATTTCTACTTCTCCATGGCATTCTGACAAGTAAAATGATATGCTTTATTCATATAAGGCATTATGACTTATTTTGTATGAATTTCAACATGCAGAAAGGCCAAAAGATGTTAATTTCTTGTTTTAAAATATAGCTCCTGAGCTGAATACAGTGACATGTCTATAATACCAGCCCTCTTGGGAGCTGAGACAGGAAATGGTAACTTTGAGTCTAGCCTGGCGCAACTAAGCGACTTAGGGAGACAGTGTGCCCAAGTGAAAAATGAAAGGGCTGGGGATGTAGCTCAGTGAGAAGACCCTGGTTCAATCAAATACCCCGTACCACCACCACTACCATCCCACACATGCCACCTCCCATCACTGAGTTGACAACTGGGATGAAAAGTAAGTCTGGGTTTAGGAGGATATCTTGAGAACAGGAGTAGTTAAGGGTGGAAAACATTCTGTGTCATCCATGTTTCTTTTTTTAAAATCATAATTTGTTATTCTTTGATTTTAATTAAACAAAAGTCTCTTTGATACCAACCAAGTATAGAATGCAATTATATGGAGAAGGTAAATAAATATCGTTGTCTTAGCTTCATGATCTACAAGGTTATAGAAAGGAACAATGTGTCCACAAATAATTATAGTACAGAGAAAAAACATATGGTCCATGAGAAAAAGTGTGAACAAAGAGTTTTAAGTGCATACAACACAGTACTCATTTAGTTGAGAAGTACTGAACAGGAGTAAGACAGCATGGAATGTCAGGTTGAGGAGCAGCAAGAATCTCAGTTTGGCTAAATTCTGAGGGAGCATAATTTTGTATGTGTGTGTATCTTTTGTGTGTCACTATCTTCTCCTAAAGACAGGGACATCATTAGTAGTACAACCTGGAATATTTCCCAGGAAATATTCAGGATTTTCAACTTTTTATTGCTTTTTAGCCAGCTTTATCATCTTCTTTTCTGTTCTCTAAAGAAAAGTAGTGGTTACATTTGGTAGAACAGAGAGTCAAGTTCTAATTCTATCACTAAATACCTGAATGATGTTGGATAAATTATTTAACTTCTCTGAGTCAATGTATATTTCAGTCTTTCTGATATGAGGGTAATAAAGTAAAAATATTAATATTTAAGATTATAGTACATGAATTAATAATGTACACATGTATGGAACACCTGATACCTCTTACAGCATGAAGTATCAAGACTAAGATTCAAGAAATTGAACTTTAATTTGGGTACACTACTTATAAACTGTGTGATCTACATACATTTCTTATCATCTTTAGGCCCCAATTTCCCTATCTGCAAAATTAGAGAGTTGACCTAGATGATCTGTATTTCTTCTAAACTGTAATAGTCTAGGTGCTATAGATGACATTTTTATTTGACTTTGATACTGAACCATGCAATTGGATTAAATTGGATCAAATTGCCATCATTGAGACTCTAATCCATTGAAATTTTATTAAAAGGCTGAAAATGAAAGTGATAATCCATTAGGGCTTGGGAGTGATCTCAAATAGACACAAAAAGAGTAGAGATAGAGCAGATCCTATTATCATGCCTGGATGAAAGAGAAAGTAGATGGTAAATGGTATTAATTTCAAGTGCCAACCTCAAAGGTTTATGATTTTATTGAAAAAAATGGAAAACATGCTCTCCCTAATTTCTGTATCAGCTATCCTGATATTTTAAGGTCTGAGTCTTCTTAATACAGTAAAAATTGTGTCCAACTCTATAAATTTATTATGAAGATGCTAACAGGATATAATCATATTATTTTAAAATATTCATTGGTTGAACTAAACAAAAATCTGAGATGCCACCGTGAGACAGATGACATCACTAGGCAAGCTATTATGCCCATTCTTATGTATGTTAAAAATGGTCTTGGAATAAAAAATAGGTATGTAGCATAATCTAAGAAATGAAGTACATATCATCATAATATTTCTGTTTCCTCAATTATAATTCCCTCTTGTGAAATTTTATCTTTCTTCCTAAAAAATGTAAAAAAAAAAAGGTGTTGATGATATTTGGAAATGCATCAAGAAGACAAAATCATCATCTATTTTAGGTATTCCTAATATGTAACTGCAATATTGAAAGTAAACACACTAGCATGTATATATCCTTGTGAAATTGTCTGTAAGTCCATACTCCTACAAGAAAAAAGGATGCTGAGAAATCTTTGGCTCATGAGCCTGGGTGAATCTAAAACACTTGCATGAAGTTTAGCATAATATGATTATTTTTCTGAAATTTTCTGGAAAGGGGATATGCTCCATGTCATGAATAATTGGTTAATCAAATTTATATCTGATTTTTCTTTTTTTTCTCCTTAAATTCTTTAATTGGTACATTTTAGGGATACAATACATTTATATTTATCATTGGGAACTTGTACCTTTACATGATGTATCTTTCTTCTTATTTTTTCCCTACTCCCCGGCCCTCCTTTCAAATCCTCCATCCCTCCCTATTTACAAAGACTTTGTTTCCATTTTTTCCTTTTCTCATATTTTTTTCCTTTCCCTTCTTTCCTTTCCCCTACCCCTCCCACTTCCCCTACACCTTTGGACCTTTTCTTTCTATTTCACATTATGATTTTTCTTTTTCACATTATAATTTTAATTGTACATATTTATAGTATAATTCAATACATGTATACAATGTATAATGATCAAATCAGAGTGTTAATGGTTTTTCTATTTTTGATCAGTAAATTCATTATAATTCAGAACTAAAGAAAATACAGTACAACGTAATTTTAAGGCAGATAATCAAAGATAGTTTCTCAGTGTTATAAAGCTTTTTATAGTTAATTAAGGCATCTCTGCTTCATAGTTGTAAATATCTAGTGCATACGAAAGTCTTTCAATTTTACTAAATTGTAAAATGTATTTTTGTGTTTCATGTTGATAATTTATAACTAAATAGGTATTTTACAATTCTACTAGTATACTGGATTTTTAAATCTTTGTTATAAAGTAAAAGAATAACTTTCATTTTGGATTAATATCTCAAAAGCTTGACTTAAGTCATACTCCTCTGTAATTTGTATTTTCCTATTGTGGAAATATATTTATAACTACTCAGATGTTTGTACTTTTATATCATGTTCTTCTAAAACATGCCTTAGATTGAGAACTGGTTGTTAAATGGTCAAATAAATCAATAAAATATTAATTTGCCTAGCAGTTTACTCTTAGTATAAGAACTGTATACTTATGCTTACTATTTTTAGGTGGATAACAGTGAACTTGTATGCATGTTTGCTTGTAGCAATAATGACCCCCGATTTGTTTACATATTTCTGTAGCCATTTGTTAGTGCTATGGATTAGTTCAAGACTGTTCCCCAAAGGCCTCATGCATTCATAGGTGGAGCTTTTGGAAGAGGACTGGAGCATGAAGACACTATAACTAACCTACTATTAGGAAGTATGGCCTTGTCAGAAATGGCTGGTCCCTGAGAGTGTGATCTGGAGGGGTTTATTTCCCTTCCTGGCTGTTCCTTTCTCTCTCTGTTTCCTGGCAGCCATGACATGAGCAGCTTTCCTTCACCCAGGGCCTTCCATCTTGCTTTTCTGCCTTTGAGCTAGCAGATCATGGACTAAAAACATAAGCCAAAATAAACCTCTCCTCCTTTAGTTGTGGGTATCAGGTACTGTGTTCCAGCAGAGAGAAAGTGACTAAGACAATTAATATCCAAAAGTGACTAAGACAGTTAATATCCACCCACTAAAATTTTTGGCTTATCCTTGTGATTTGCTTTGGCCAGTGGGATAGTAGCAAGCAAACATTATGCAAAGAACAGCACTTGCACATTAGTATTTACCCTGTTTTGCCTCACATGCTGCCACCATGTAAATAAGCTCTAGTTAGCCTCTGTATGAAAGACACATGGCTCAGTCTTTCCTATTTTCCAAGCAAGCATGGAGCCAAACTGCACACCACACCAGTGTGAGGCCAGCCTAGATCTTGTAGTTTCCAGCATCAGCAATCCCAGCCAAGATTTGCAGAGCCTTGCCAGATCAACAGAACAGCCCTCCTGGCCTATAGACTGAGAGTAATAACAAATAGTTCTTCTAAGTACTCTGTTATGGATTGGCTTGTTATGCAGCAGTAAATAAGGAATACAACACATATAGGACACAGATAACAGAGAAATACATTTTGCAAAGAACATTAACATTTTCCAACATATATTTGTTATTACATTCAAAACCTTTGTAACTGATTTTTGGTGTAGGAAACAAACTTGGATATGATCCTCTTTTTATCTCTGGGTTTATAGATATCCCAAACATTTGTCAAATCAATAAATAAAAATTAGGCACAAACTAAGTACCTGGCCCAGTACCAGATGATTAGAATGAAATGATTAATCAGCTAAATTCCTATTTGTGTATTTATGAAGTGATTACAGTATGCTCTGTCATGGTTTCCATGAAAAGTTCTTTATTCTTCTAAATGCAACTGAATTCCAATGTTAATTCCATTTGTGATCTTCATTTCTCTTTCTCCCAGAAATTCTAGAAATTTGGTATTTATTGGTCCTGTTTATATTTCTATTCCTCCTTCTTTTGAGAAATATGGTAACATTGCATTTTCCCAAACACAGTGGACTGCAAAAGTGATCAAAAATTATGTCATTGCCTCTATGGACACTCATTTGCAATGTAACTTGTAGATCCTTCTATGAAGTGGCAGAATCTATTTCCCCATACTGACTTTGGGTATGGTTGTGTGACTTGCTTTAGCCAGTTAGCCACTGGGACTTGGGCAGTTATGACCCAACTCAACACTTGAAAAGCACTTAAGGATTAGGTCTTGATCTCGTTCTTGTGACCACCATGTGAACAAGCCTAACCTTTTGAAGATGAGGAGGAACACTGGGTGCTGTTGTCAGCTAACCTTCCAAGATAGAGTTGCCTAGCTGACAAGTAAGTGACCATAAACACCTGAGTGAGCCCAAGTAAGGACTCCAGAAATGTTCAGTTTATCCTAGCACAAATTATCATTCCATAGCACCATGAGCTGATTAAATAGTTGGAGTTTTTTTTGTTTTTGTTTTTGTTTTTTTGGTACCAGGGATCAAACTCTGGACCTTGCACTTCTGAGGCAGGTGGTGGAACCACTAAGCTACATCCCCAGCTCAAATAGTTGGTATATTAAGCTATTGGGTTTGAGGGTGGTTTGTTATCCCCTCAAAAATATCTAACATATCATTTTTTGGAAATTAGGCCTGGCCTTATAATTTACTTTATCCATTGAAATGTGTACCTTCTGTTAGAAGCCTTAAGGACTGGACTGTGATTCTGCATCATCTTTCTCTTGTCATGGTGACTGGGGAGTTTCCAGATGATTGAGCTCCACAAGCCCTAGTCTTGAATGGACATGGAACAGTTCTCCCCACCTGCTTGCACACTGACCTATGCAAGACAGATAGTATGGTAAACCCCTGTTTTTAACCCACAGCGATTCTGAGTTTTTGAATCTGGACTATTCTTAGGAATGTAGGAATTGGTACCAGAAGGTTACAAAGTTACAACAGAAAATTTAAAATATATAGTCATAACTTACAGGTACAATAGATGAGGCCAATCTAGATCTTGCAGTTCCCAGCATTAGCAATCCCAGCCAAGAAACTTGTTGGAGGCTGGAAAGTTGGAAATCAGTGTTAACTATGGTAAAAAAACATTTGCTAAATATTTGATGTATATCTCCTATTTTCCATTTTTCTAATTAGCAGTGTTTATAATATTGCTTTTGACTATGCTCCCCCCTCCCAAGAGTACGTGTTGGAAATTTTATTCACAATACAGCAGTGTTGGGAGATGGTTCCTAACAAGAGCGGATTAGCCCATGGGATGGAGAGAAGGGATGTTTTATCTCTGGAGTGTGTTTGTTAGAAAAGGTGGAGTTCTGCTCACTATGAATCTCTTGCTCTCTCTGTCTTTCTGCATGAGATGATACAGCAAGAAGTGTCTTGCTAGATGTCAGCACCATTGTTTTGGGCTTTCCAGGCTCCAGAACTGTGAGAAATAACTTTCTGTTCTTTATAAATTAGCCAATCTGTGGTATTCTGTGTGGTAGCACAAAATGAACTGAGATATCATACTTACTTTGTCCCTGTCTTACCACTGTATGTTGACTGTGGGGGGTGAGGGGATTGATACTATGCCTTTTTAAGTCTCCATAACAAGAGAAGCTTTATCCAGTTTTAATATAGAGACTATTTAGAATCAGAGATGCTAGACTTTAATATTAATGCCTTACTAAATAGACCTTTTGGGTTGTCTCACTTGGGAGAGAAGTGAATGTATTTTGTATTACACAGAGTGAACTGTAAATTGACGACTAGAAGAACAGATTCCAATAATATTTGGTGCTATTCACCAAATGTTTCTTCTGGGCAAATAGTAGAATTACACATCCTCTCCTCCTTTGAAGATAGACATAACTGTATGATTTGCTTTGGTCAATGAAATAGGAGTAAAAGTGACTCATGTCACTTTAGGAAGAACCAGTTTACCATTTCTCATCTTCCTCCTGCCTACCAAACCAGGGGGAGATGTTCAGCCACTGACATCTCCCTAAGTACCCAGTTGCTGGAATGAAGCCCCCTCACTTCAAAAGACGAACATGTAGATAAGCAGAAAATGAACTTTGTTTCTTATTTCAAAGCCACTAAGATTTTTGGATTTTTGCTACTGCACAATAATTTGTTCCATCCTAACTAATGTAGATTATTATAAAAGTGATGCTACAAAGGCAATTCTGAGTCGAACTGGTAACTAAAACCGTCCACTGATAATTTCAAAAGCACTTTCAGTAAGTGATTTTAATATGCCTTCAATTGTAGCCAGTCTAGAAAACTAGTTACAAGATTTAAAACTTCACTTTTGAAAAAACTTTATGAAGACGTAATGTTGTATCTTCACGACTGAGGTAATGATGCACAAAGAAACATTTTCTCTTGAGGGGCTTTAGGAAAGGAGACGGATAAGGACAAGTCACAACACAGCGACAGTGGTATATAACTCAGAATTTGTGAGTTTCCAAGAAAAATTGAAACATATTTCCCTCAGACTTGAGCATAAATCTCCAGTACTACACAGTACTTCTCAGCAAACTTTGAGTGGCTTAGCTTCAGCTTGGCCCTTTGCATCCTACAGAAATACAGTAAATGCACAATTGCTAAGACATAAAAGTAAAAGTGTAACTGAAGAATATATTTAACCAAAAGATCACGCACCCCCCCCCTCCGTTATTTTCTCTAGCACAACAGACTTCATTCCCTAACATCTGAAAAGTGCTAAATTGTGGAGCACTGTAATGGGATGCGGCTATGGGAGATGGGAAGGTACAGAGGTCTCAGTAGGTCTCTGTCCTCCAAGACTACATTTCGTGTAGCATAAAAAATTTCCCTTCTGAACTTTTCAGCCAGCTACACCCAAGCCCCCATAAAAATTTTTTCTATGAAAAGCTTATCTTTTCCCTAAGTCTTGAAAATTTTCTCGCTTTCCGAGATCTCTTCGCCTGGGGAACTGAAGAGACTGTGGGTCCCCGAATGCCAGGCAGTTATCTGAGACGCAGCCAAATGACTGACTCGCTCTTGCCTAAGGGAGAAGCGAGATGATAGAGACCTGGAAAAGTTTCCAGCGCTTAAAACATAAACCGAACCCTGAACCTGCAAGGGGTCGACAACTCTTGCTTCTTGAACGGCTCTTCTGTCTCAGAACCTAAGGAAGCTAAAGCTGGTTGGGTTGGCCAGGGCAAGGCGGACAGCACACAGTCTAAGCCTACCTGGAGTACCTCGCAGAGAGGGCTGAGAAGACCGGAGAGTGCTCCTCGCTGCTGGACTACAACGCCCGGCGTGCACTGCTCCACGGCCCTGTGCTTTGCTTGGGGATTCGGGCGCAAAGGAACGTGGGAATTGAAGTTTGCGGGCGGCCAGAGCGCGTCGCTAAAACAGAAGGGAGGCGTTGCCAGTGCGCTCCGTTAGCACGCGGGTTCCTGACTGGGTTTCGGGTCTTTCGCTCCCGCTCAGGGTTTCCGCGGGCGGCAGGAGCAGTATGGCTCGCAAGAGTAAACTCCGGGGGGGAGGAAAAAGAGGGAGTGGATGGGGGGGCGGGGTCAGCGGAAGCGGCAGGTTGCTTCCTTCGCCTCCCGCTCCCTCCCCGCCTCTCCCTGAGGGAGCGGTGGGAGGGGGAGGGAAGGGCCGAGGGAAGGTAGTGACACGTGTCAATCAACCCCTCTCCGGGGGGCGCGCGCTCCGGGGCTCGCGCCGAGGGCTCGCGCCCCTGCCTCGTGCCTGCGCCGCTCGTATGTAAATGAGGGCGCGTGACGCGGGACGCAGATGGACAAGGGAAGAGAGAGAATGGCCGCTGCCGCCGCCGCCGCTGCTGCCGCCGCCGCCGCTCAGTGCCGGAGCCCTCGGTGTGCGGCGGAGAGGAGAGGATTCCGGCGGGAACTCGACTCCTGGCGCCACCGCCTCATGCACTGTGTAGGTAAGAGACGCGGGCCGGGCCCCGGGCTGCGCGCGGCGGCAGCTGCCGCAGCTCGAGGAGTTTGTGGCTGAGGGGTTCAGTTCAGCTCCGGCTCGGGTCGGTCCGCTGGGGGAGCGAGATTGGAGCGGCGGCGGCGCGGCGGCCCCGGCGCTCGCCTTTTGTCTCGGAGACTCCCCGCCGGCGTGGTCCGCGCTCCGTCCCCGCCTGCTCGGCTCCGGGGCTCCCCGGGAACTGTTGGTTCGGACCTGCTCCCGAGCCCCCCGGGGAGCCGGCCGTCCGCTCGCCGAGCCCCGAAACTCCGCAGCACCCGGGGCCGCCCGCGGGCCGCCTGTCAGGAGGGAGGAAGCGGTAGCCCGGCGCGCGGGTCGCGGCCGGGCCGGGCGGAGCGGAGCCGGCGGCCGGCGGCAGCAGGAAGGTGGGCTGGTCCGCGCCCCCGCCGGGCGCACACACACCCCCTTCTCCCCGCCGGGGGCCGGGTCGACCGACGCGGCCGAGCTCCGGGACCTGCGCCCGGGGGACGCCGAGGCGCTCGCGGGGCAGGGGCAACGGGTGGGTTGGCTGGGGGGCGAGGGGCCGCGGGGGCGTCGCCCGAGGGGCGGGGGACGCCCAACTCTGCCCTCTCGCGCTTGGCGGCGGCGGCGGTGCGGTGCGTACCCCTTTAAGAAGGAGCCGCTCGAGCGCTGACGGTTGGGATTTGAAGTTCTTCCTCCCTCTTTGGAAGTCTGGACGGATGGGGGGTGTTGCCCTGGCAACGGCACCCCCCCTTCCCCTTCTCGCGGACGCCCCGACGACTCTGGTCCTCTTTCCCCGTCATGTGATGGACTCTTCCCTGCACACTGACACTCTTCGCCCTTCCCACCTCGCCTCCCCGTTCAGTTGCAGTTCTGTCTTCCTTTTCGGTGGGGACTGACGCGTTTTGCTCCAAACTTCTGGACCTGGGGCTCAGACTGGGTTGTTGGGGTGGCGGGAGATGGTGGGACTCCCCGCCTTACTGCAGACTCTCGCGCGCGCGCGCTCTCTTTCCATCCGGGTGAGAAGTCTGCCTGGAGCTCTTATCCAGCAGGTTGGTCTAGTGGGCTCGGACGGGGCACAGACCGGGTGTCTCGTGCATGTTTGTTTTGGAAGGCGGTTGTGGGTGGTGGTTCTTGGGAAGGGGTGGAAAGGAAGATTGTGTGAGGAGTGGACGATGGCATCAGCTTTCTCTGCTGGCGAGTGAATCTTGGCCTTTGGAGTTGGGGAGTAACCTTAGAGCCTTAAGGAAACAACTCTTTACCTTATTTTCCTCTGTTCTCGGCGCCACCTCGCGCCCCTTCCCCCTGCCCCACCCCTCTCACTTTTGTGTGTGGTTAGCGCCTGACGACCTTTCTTGTTTTCACTAATGACGAGGAGATCGTAGTAGATTAAACTAGTAAAAACGTCAATTCGAAATAGGGTGAATAGAGAAAAAACGTACAAGAAGGAAGATTGCTTCTGTTAGGGGCGTTTTAAGTGATGTTTTACCTTTGTAAAATGTATTTTGGTCCCATCTAAGGAAAAGTTATGGGGAAAGGCCCTGGTTAAGTATTAGTAAATGACTTCCGCCCATAAAGTGTTTTTTAAAAGCCTCATTGTATTCTTGGTACCAAGTGTTTGGTATTTGTGGATCTTGAATATAAAATGGACCCATTTTTGCAGTTTCTTAGGTAAAGACCTCTTCTGCAAAACCTGTTTAGAAATTGTTGCCTTCATTCAGATAGAATTAGGTAGATGACGGCATTATGATATGGCTCATGATGTTACTGTGTTAAGTTTTGCCAAGGTACACAGTAATTTGAGGATTTCTGGTCAATTTTTGGTTTAGAATATTTTGAGTTTGGGTTTTTTTGTATCGCTTATTTCGATATATTAAGTATAGCTTTATATCACAAAAATATATGCTTGAAAAAGTCAAATTTTAATTAGATGAAACAAAATTAAAAGTAATTGGATTTGATGGAAAAAAGAACTAGATTATCTTTTTGTAACCTACTTAGATACTATTCAAGTAGTATTGGAAGACATTGAAAATTGAGTTTATACTGTATGTCTAATATGAAATCTGTTGCACCTTAATATAATAATTATATTTTACTGTACAGGAAAATACATATTTCCTGAGTTTTAGCTATATTTGAGAATTTTTTCTCACAGTCCCAGTCAGGAGGCCTACTAAGATCCGTGTTATAATAAAACCCTGTTAAACAAGGTGTACATTTGCTGATTGTGTTTTTTCAGAGTCCTGTCATGTTTATGATGTGATTTGGGGTTAAAAGTAATTTGTATAATTATTTTAAGTCACCTTTGCTATTAATGTGCTTACATTCATACTTTGTGAACATATTTACAAAATAGCCATGTTTTTTTCCTTTCTTTTTTTGTATCTATATGTGACTGCGTGAGTGTGTGTGTGTGTGTGTGTGTGTGTATTTCTGTATTGAATATTCAGTGTTTGTACTACATGGAATCATTTTTGTAAAATAAAATGCCTTTCTGGAAGAAAATGACCCAAAAGTCTTACTTTTAAGTGAGATATGGAAATTGTAGGTAGTGTCTCAGGATTGTACAGCAAATTAGTACTAGTGAAATTTTGAATCTCAGTTCTTAGCTTAAATGTTTAATCTGATTCATTTTTTAGTACTTATGCTTGAATGCTGCAGGGAAGAATGTTTTAGTTGTCAGTGACTGCTTATACTAGTTGAGAAGGTGAAATGACTGTATATAAAAAGAGATGTTTACCTTCCTCAAAATTGTAGAACTTACCTCGTTGCCTTAGATTTTTGACTACTTTTCTTATTCTTGGTTTTTGCTTTAATTGGAGAGTTGACCTGCAAGCTCTTTTTACCAGTTTTGTAGCTCTATTTATAAGGTAGTGTTTTTTATAATGTTTTTTCTGTAAACCTGAACTATACTATAATTTTGAGTGTGCTCGTTTTACAACTTATTGGATAGTAAATAATATCCTAATACTCAAAATTGATATTGAACAGTAATAGATACAGTCCTGGATCTTATGGAAAATAAAATATAATTAGTTTCTGATGAATCATAAAAATAAAGTCTAGAGTGAAAGAAACATATTAGTACAATTTAAAACATCTGGCCTATTAGGAGAGAGAAGCCAAGTTTTTTAAAAAGTTACTTTGATAGGCCAATTTTAAAAAAAAAATTTATTTTGATGTAATTTTTACCTTATGAAAATGGAAAACTAGTAGGAATTTCTGTATTTCCTTATCCACATTCACCATAATCCACAGTGTTTTTTATTTTGTTATATGTGCTTTTTCATTCTTGCTGTATATCCGTCTATGCATTTCTGAACAATTTGAGAGTAATTTGGAGACATCATACCCCTTTGCTCTTATCTTTTTCAGTGTGTATTTCCTAAAAATAAGGACAGTGTTTTATCTAACCAGTGTAGGAGATCAAAACCAGCAGTTTAGCATTGACATAATCTAATTTATAATCCATATTTAAATTTTTTCTGTTCATTTTTTTCCTCCAAAATCCTCTCACCCTACCCCAGTTCATAATGCACTATAGGATGATTAAGCCCTGCATTTGGTCGTCTTTAGTTTTTTTGTTTTTGTTTTTTTAAATCGGGAATACTTTGTTAGCCCTTCTATTTCTTGACCTTGACATTTTTGAAAAATATGACAATTATTTTGTAGGCTGTCCCTCAATTTGAATTTATTTTCTTATGATTAGGTTAACCACACACTTGGCAGGAATCCTACTTGAAGAGATACTCTCTTCTCAGTACATCATATCTTGATACTCATGATGTTTATCCCAATGATGTCAGCTTTGAAAATTAAGATGTATTTCTCCCTGAAAGTTATTTACTTCTTTGTAATTAATATGCAGCTTATGGAAATGTACCTTGAAGAACAAGATGTTGTCATAATCTGATTGAAATTTCATCCACAAGTTTTAGCATCCATTGATGTTTAACTTTATTCTTTGTATAGTTATTTGAAGTTGACGTCTGTTGTAAAGCAGTCTTTGCTGTCTTCTCTGTATTTATTTAGTTAGTTAGTTAGTTAATGTGAAATCCAATGCTATCATTATTTTGAATCTCAAATTATGTGAGCTTTGCTTGGTGGGAGCCTCATCAAGCTGTTTTGTGTGTGGGTTTTGGTTTTGTTTTGACAAAACAAAATATTCCAAGTTCATGTACTTTACCTGTCCTGTCTCTGGTGTTAGCTGCTTCTCCAAGGTGACTTCCATTCTTTTTAGTGGAAAATAAATTTAGGCACTATTATGGTTTAGATCTAAAATGTCCCCCAGAAGTCTTAGGTGTTCAGAGGTGAGGTTTTGAAGGTGATTGTATCATGGAAGGCTCTCCTCATCAGTGAATTAATCCACTGATGAGTTCATGACTCAGTGTGTTGTTAGGGGCCTGGTTGGAGGATGTGGGTCACTGGGGGCATGACTTGGAAGGGTGTATTATTCTGGCTGCTCCCTTCTTTAATGTTTTCTGGCTTCCATGGGTTGAGGAGCATTCCATCATGCCACTGCTTTGGAGCCAGCCATCCGTGGACTGAATCCTCTGAAACTGTGAGCCAAATAAACCTCGTCTCCTTTAAGTTGTGAGTTTTGAGTATTTTATTCCAGTGATGGGAATGTGACTAATACAGGAACCATGATCTGTGGTTTCAAATCTAGGTTTCAGGACTGAGTTTAAAACCTATTTTTTTCTGAAATAAAAGTGGATTATAAATGTTTCTTTCTGTGGTGACAAAGTGGCAAAGATTGGATTAGAATCATTCTATAAGCTAGTGTCTTTCTTGTATAACACTGTTTTCAGTAGAAATATAATAGCCAAATGTGTAATTATAAATATTTTGGTAGCCACATTAGAAAACACATTTTATTAATCTAATGTATTCAAAATATTATTTTAACATTAATGCACATAGATATTATTAATGAATTGATTTACATTCTTAATATTAAATCTTCACAATTGGATATTTTACATTTATAGCACGTTTCAGTTTGTTCTAGCTACATTCAGTAGTGCCTAACTGCTACATATGGCAAATGGCCCCATCATTGAACAGTTTCTTGAATACTAAGGTACCACTTACCTCATCCCTTAAAATCTCTTGATAGTAACTAAACCTATAGTTTAATTTTTCTTTCCCCAAATCTTTTATTTGGACAGTAAAAGACAGAACATAGGCTTTGGAGCTAGACTACTTGTATTTGAATCCTCGTGTTAATTACTTAGAGTGTGGATAAATTTTCTAACTTATTTGAACTTCAGTTACTTCCATTGTGTCATATCTTGGTATGAGTCTTCCATATAGAAAGCATTCAAGCCGGAGATTTAGCTCAGTGGTTCCGCTGCCTGCCTCGAAAGCGCAAGGTCTTCGAGTTTGATCCCCGGTACCAAAAAAAAAACAACAAAGCATTCAATAAATATAATAAACATTAGCTATTCTTATTCAGATTATTAACTGCTTGAACTTTACATTTTTGTCAGTAGATTTTGGTAGGAATGCTGATGAATAATGAAACAGGTCAAAGGGCATGTTAGAGGAAAAGATAGTAAGGCTTGAATGATTTATATGTTACAGTAATCCAGAGCCATAGAATTAGAGTTTTAGAATCACAGAGTAAAGTTTAGTAAATAAAACTGGCTTTTTGTATGAAGAGACCAAATGGCATTTGATGCCCTTCTACACACTAAGGAATCTTTTAGCCTTGCTAAATAACTGAATATAAGAAATTAGTTTTAGTTCATTTTTAAAAATCAGTATCAGACTAGATATACTTTGAAGCTACATGCTCTGTTGGTATCTACTGTCTCATTTTAGTCTTCCTGTTAATCAACTTAACTCTTCTTTCTGGCTATTTCTTACCTCCTGTTCTTTTA